TATATTACTTGTGTGGTGTAGAAGAGAATTATTTATGTAGAGATACTGCTTGCAAACCAATGATGGTAAGATGATGTCATGGGGTAGGACTGGATAAGTCTGACTTCTTCCTACTCCATTCAAGCATGTACTAGGTATAAGCAAATTGATATTTGATTAGCATTTGTTGGATATGTGTAAAATTATGTGTGTTGACATATCAACTGTCTTTACATGCTTGAAAGAATAAATCAAATCAAATCAAATCAAAATGGCTGCTGTGAAAATGGTCTGTTGTATTATTCACTCACAGATTTCTAGCTTTGTATGACGATTAATAAATTAAAATGATGTACACATCCCCTGTGTGTGCTGGTATTTCTGCTTTATGAATTTGTTATTATTTAACTTTGTCATATGAATTTATGTCATCTATCAGTCACATCAGTCTTTGCCTTTTTTACAGTGACTTCCCAGCAGCATATGTATGTACAACAGATTACCTGTATTTCAGCTGGATGCAGGGTTTCATAATAACAGTTACAAGGAGAAAAACATAATGAAGTTTCTATCACTGCACAGTACTTCAGAATATTGATATTAATATGGATGGATAAACTGTGGTCAGCACCACATCTCACCTTTTAAATAGATGATAATTCCCTTCATTTAGAGTTAGTGAATTTTATCCACTGCAAATTGATGCATTTAAAATATTTTTTCTTTAGTGGACTTTAAGCCTGGTTGAACAATGTGGCTTTGTCACAAGCACAGAAATAACAAATGTCAGTAAAAAGGCTTTGAAAGAAAATTAGTAAAACAGTGGTTCACCACAACATTAAAAGTACTCACAGACCATTGTATAGCTAATCTTTCTCCTCTAATCTTGCTTTGAATTGACTGTGTAAGTTACTAAATGACCAGTGTTCTGATAGCAAATGTTAAATCCTAAAGTTTCTTTTCTTTTTCTGTTCCAGGAAATATTTTCTTTTCTTTTATTTCCAGTGTAGGAACAGTGAGCTTGATATAGTTAGCCACCGTCTGAATGAAGTAACTGTGCAGGACAAATAGGGTGTGCACAAACTGCGTCAAGACTTCTTAGTAGTTGAGTGTTTGTAGCCACACCAACGTAAACCGTGAGTGATGACAGCCTCCTTTCATTTGACAACTTGATATGAAATTGAATCTGAATGTGTGTATGTTTGTGCGTATGCGCATGTGGCTAAACGTGTGTGTTTCTCATATGCACAGCATGCGTGCGGATGTATATGCATTTGTTTTTTTATGTTGTGTACATACATTTGTAATTTATGAGACAGTTAAATTGCATTTAAAACTGCCATACTGCAGTATTTAAATGACAGCATTTGGTCATATAAAAAG